TTTATGTCCTTTTTCTATTTTTCGTCAAATCATTTTGCGGGCATTCATACTCACATAATTTAGGAAGAAGCAGTTCATACTTCTCTCTCATCATCAGCATCGTCGTTTTTTCGCCGTCCTCATCTCGCATCGAAACCCTCATCTAGCAGGCATCTTCGCCCATCGAATAGCGACTAGTTCTCCGACACACGCGCGGATATAAGCTTCAAACTTGAATCTGCCGCAAAAGGTCAAAAACTCTGAAAATCACCTCGGAGGCAAATTAACTTTGACATACTCTTCCTTGATCGAATCGTTTGGGAATCCGGTCACTAGAAAAGGCTGTTCACAGTTCGGGGGGGCTCTCCTCTTATCTTGCACCGTAGGACGACACTCATCACCAACTCTCCTCGGACTATCAATATAGCGGCCGTAAAACTGGAGACGGGGAGGATCTTTGGATACTGTACGCGCCAAAAGTGCGTTCATTTCACAGAGAGAGAGAGAGAGAGAGAGTCGTATAGCAATCGCGGCAGCAATAGAACATAACTAAAGAACAAAAAGTATGTCGCCCTCCGCTGAAGACCACACGATTAGTAAAACGAACGGCTCCGCCAACGGGACGACCAGCAACCACACTCCTGTTCGTGAGGCTTCCGCCAGCTCGACCTTCACTGCTGTCAACGGAACCTCTAACTCGGTTTCCACCTCAAATCCGCGGCCGTCGGAACCCATCCGAGTCGCGGGGCCATCGCCCCCTTCAGCACCACCAGTACCACCAGCGCCTCAAGCGCATTCTCCCAGCCATCAACTCCAACTTCAAAACAACCATCACAACCACCATCATCACGCGCACCACAACCACCGTAGCCAGACTGCTTCTCACGCTTCCCAGTCTGGCAGCGGGGACGAGGACACCGGTGACCACAGCGATATCACGGGTTCTAATCTACAGTCTCCCGTAACCCCGAATTCTCACCCTGATCCGAAATACGCTCAGGCTGCCGCCGATAATAGGCCCTTGTCTGTACGTCCTTCAGGTAGCCCCGAAGGGAATATTCAAAAAAGGAAGAGATCGAACTCCGCTGAAGCTGGAAACCGTGCTGAAAACTACGGCCAGATCCGGGAGATGTCGACTGAGGTTGTCCAGTACCATGGTCATAGTATGCCGATGACCAATGATACTCGTATGGTGGATATCTCTGATGGACCCCGGGACGAAGTCATGCCGGACCGCCATGCCCCTGAGCATATTGCCCAGAGGGCCAGCGAGGAGGCTGCCAAATTAGAGGACATGCGAAACCGGGACCCAGCCGTCTTCGAGGCTCACGTGGCACAGCAACTCCAGGGAACACCACAAAGTGATCATATCCGTTCATACAACCCCAACATGTCTCCAAACATGAACACTATCAACGGGAACGGCCCGACTACTCCTGGTCAGCCTGAAACAAAGCGGAAGCGTATCTTTAGCAACAGGACCAAGACAGGCTGTATTACATGCCGAAGGAGGAAGAAGAAGTGTGATGAGGGCAAACCTCATTGTTAGTACAAACTTATCTTTTTTGATATCGTTTTTGCACTGGATGAAACAGCTAACAAATATGGCAAACACCAGGCAATAATTGCAAGCGTGGAGGATTTACTTGTGGTGGATATGCTGGTAAGATTAATCCCTTTCTGGGACCACTCACTCCCACCGACGCTCCCGGACATCCTCAACATCTATATAACGACGCCGCGTCAACCAACTCTGGTGCATCCGGCTCCCTCTTTGCGCAAGGCCAACAAGCTGATTCGATCTTGGCAAATGGTCCAGCTCCTATTAATGCCAGTTTCGCTACTATATCTACTCCTATTATGAGAACATCCCAAGAACGTCCAGTTGTGAGTAAATTTCTCTTCAGATCGCGTCCCCAGCTTTGAAATCTCACATCTTCTTACCAGCAACTTCCTCCACCGGATTACACCCGTCATCAGCTCCCTCAACCTCCACAGCCCATCGTCATCCAACAAACGACCATGCCGCCTGAACCAAAGCCATTCGGTGCTACAGGACTGTCACTGTCCGGTCCTGCTCCTCCTCCACAGGTCCAGCCTATTCGACGAGACTCTGGGGTCAACCAACACCTCTCAGGTCCAGAACCACCGAAACCCCAAACTCAAGTTTCGCCATTTTCCGGTCCACGAGTTCCACCACAACCACCACTTCCCCAGAGATTCTCTTCGACTGAGAAGGAGAGAATGCTTAACGGTGATCTCTTCCACGCATTCACGCCAGAGTTGATTGAAGAGCGGGAGAGATGTCGTGCTGCATGCTGGAGATTCAACAATGCTGCCAATCCTACGTTGTGTATCTCTCGAGAGGAGAAGTTGCGTCTACAGATGGAAATCTTTAGGCCATCTGCGGGGACCAGAGGCCCTCAAGGAACTGCTTGGCACGGAGATATCGCAAATGCTCACCTGAGGAAGAACTTGGGCATGCCGGATACCGTTTACCCGGTCAATGAGGAGCCATGGATTGAAGTCCCTTTCATGTGTGACTACGGCTATAACATCACTCTCGGTCCCGGTGTCTTTATCAACTTTGGCTGCACCATCATTGATACATGCTCCGTAAGGGTTCTATGCTCCATAATAAGGCTTGAAATCTCAGCTAACGATCAAACCAGGTTACCATTAAAGCCCGAACTCTCATAGGGCCCAACGTCAACATTTACTCTGGTACCCACCCACTCAACCCTAGAACCCGTAACGGGACTAAGGGTCCAGAGTTTGGCAAGCCAGTAGTCATCGAGGAAGACTGCTGGATTGCCGGAAACGTCACTATTCTGTTAGTATTGCTCATAATTCCTCTGTTTTCGCCACATGCTAACATTTAATAGTCCCGGCGTCAAAATTGGCATGGGTGCTACCGTCGGCGCTGGCGCTGTTGTCACCCGGGATGTCCCTCCCCACACCGTTGTCGCCGGAAATCCAGCCAAAGTCATCAAAGGTATTATGGAGCACGAGTAAGGCTCCTATGTTAAAACATCGAGTACACAGCGTCTGTGTTATCCTTACCCGCCAGCGTGCGGTTGTTAGCGTGTAACACTCACGATATTTTCTCTCATTTTTTCTTTTCTCATTTCATTTTAATCTCTTATCTCCTTTCCGTCTACTAATCATCATCATTTTCTCTTTTAATCTCCTTGATCTTGTCTATGTTCTTAAAACTTGTACTCTTCCCACCGTAACGGCCACTTTGCACGGAAATGTTTTAACGACAAAAAGAAAATCTAGGGTCGGGGAGTCATGCGGAATTCGTCTGGTGTTAATGGCGTTTCCTAATTTTCGTTGTGCTTTTTCTGCATGTCCATTCCATCACTACTATTCCTTTCAGCTGGTTCGCAGAACACTGCTGTTCATCTAATAAACCACCACGCGGAACCTCACCAAGGTTTTCACCTGATCTGATTTATGAGACAATCTCTTTCCTCCTCTTTTGCTGACAGTACACCTGTTTTCTGCATATTTTTGTTCCTTTTTTCTTGTTCTGTTTATGGGATATTTTGTTTCTGCCAGGCTTGTGCTTTTATGGGTTGAGGAATTCCGCATGACTCGTCGACGCTAGAAGGGCGTTAATTCTGTTACAGTTGGAACGATTATATACCAAAAACAATCTTTCCTGCTTTTTTTGCATCTAATATACATGTCACTTTTTATATCTGTTTATCTTCGCAATGTTTCCCCCATCTGATTGTACAGTGATACAGGACCAAAAAAAAAGTCCTGATCCCCCCTCTTCGAAATTTCCAAAGCGAGCGAGCACTTTCCAAGCGAGCAAAGCTGCAATTTCTTTTCTATGTTCCTGTCCTTCTAAAACAGGACTCTGACTTGTCCTGTCCTTCTTGAAATATATCAGAACACCTCTTTTTACTTCTTGTTATTTACCATTTTACCCATGTAGACCTGCCAAACGCTTTTCTTTTCTTTCCTTTCTACCTCCCTCCTTCTATCTCTATCGATATATCTCTATCTCTATCTCTTTCTTGTTCTGTCCCTGAAATAAGATATACGTATATATTCATACCAAGGCTGCGGGTGGGAAAAACAGGGTCTTCCAGGAAACCTTTCTATGATTCGTTTTCATCGTTGGGTTTCGTGTAAGACTTCATCTCTTTCTCTTTTGCACTTCTTTTGTGTGTGTTAGTTAAAAAAGGATATATATATTTATGTCTTTAGGTTTTGCACTTTTTTATACTTTTCTCTCCTTTTGTTTGATGGGCTCAACCTTTATGGATGTTGTTTCTGATGTGGTTGACGCTTTCGAATGCCCCTTTTTTGGTTGACACTCTTTGTGTACGTATTTACTTATGTACATTTTTCCAATACGATCATTTGAATATTTTAACCTTTGGGTTTGAGGGGTTTGAGGTTATTTTGTAAAACCAAATGCTACTGCGTTAGGTTTAGAGAATATGGGGGTTGGGATTGGATGGGACGTAGTTCAAATCATTTTGGAAAGTATTTCTAGGAATCAAGGTAATCGACATCGTGTGATAAACCGTGATGCTAGCATCTAGAATTCTGGGGTTTTCAAATTACGTTGATGTATTGGGAAGAATTTTATGGTAAAGGCCATAGTATAGCTATCACTGCATCGAATGAAAGCCTGAGGTCTATATTGTAAGGGGTGTGCACACCTATTTGGTGGATTAGAAGGGCATGTTATCGAATCCGTGGTATGCTAGTACTGTTGATAGATACCACTTGACGAAGCCACACTTTCCAAGTAGACTATTATTTGTAACAGACATAGACGTAGTTATAATAAAACTTAGAGCTATAGTGGTTACTAGTATATACTCATCAAAGGACTAGATAGACCTATCCAGACGACCTAGGCAGACTCGTATACCCCTCCACGAAGTCTTCATACCCAGACTAAGCCCACCGATCGAACCGACAGCACTTACTACCAAAACATTATATCTCCCTATATATACCTTATCTACCTATCCGGATATATAATAAAAAAGGTCCGCGTAGAGTAGTGGTCATCTCGCCAGAATCACACCCACTCCCCATTCTTCCTCCGACATGAGGAAGAGTGGGGAGTGAGTAAGTCCCCTCTGGATATCGTCGGTTCGAACCCGACCGCGGGCATGTTTCTTTTTGCTTGAATCGATTTCTTCTTTTTTTTTTTTTTGGTGGTTGGTGGCTGGGATCGAGATCGAGATGGTGTTTTGGATCGGTCGATGCGGGTGGGTGCAGGTGATTGCTGTGCGGATGGTGGTGTTGAGGGCAACAAAGGATACTGGCTTTAGTAGGATCGGGTATGTTACTAGTGTTATACTAAGTATATGGACTACTATAGTACCATTAGCTTTGGGATTATGCATATTATCATCTAGCAGGTTCTATTATACATTGCTAAGATACCTGACTGGTATCATATGTAGTGGCATACTATATTTTCTGACTATTATATCCAGAAACCCTCTACCAAGATTTTTTAGACTCTATATATGTCCCGGAATAGGGATTGAAACACTCATAAGTATTAAATTGGTTGATATCCTAAGCTTTACTATTATATCAACTTCAACATCCCTAGAATCCACATGCCCAAAATTTGGTAATCGAGGCAAAACATCCAAACGTTGGATTCTGTGTGTTGTAAGCCCTCCACGTGACGTTGTCTCCAGCCAATGGGAAGCCAGCGATTTCATTTGTGACGGCATGGGTCCACTTCCGCTAACCTCAACCTCCAAACTCAAAGAAACACAAACCACCCACCCGCCAAATGTTATAACGCCCCCCCAGTCGCCACCCTCGAACCTCCTACCCCCTCCTCCATCCCGGCCACCGTTCCTCCTTCCTCCAAACCTCGGCCTTCTGTGTCCAACCTTACCAAATACCTCAACAATGGCCTCGATAATACCACGACGTGCCCTGGCGGCCAGGAGCGCTGCTGCTGCCCTCATCCCTCGAGGTATGTCCATTTACCTTCCGCTTCCACCTCGATATATCCCCATTGGCCGCTGACAAAACCCTATAGCATCCCTCGTCCCCGCTCTAGCAGTCCAACCCCACCGCGACTCTTCAACTCTAACAACCCAACGCTCCACCAGCGTCGTCAGACGCGAAGTCCCACTCCCGAGCCAACAAAAACCCGAAGGCGTAGTCGACTACGCATTGTACGTTCTCACAATCCCCACGCCCACTATATACCACTAACAACCCCTCCCTGTCCTTTTCAGAACCACCCTCGACGCCATCGCAAACTGGGCCCGTCAAGGTTCCCTCTGGCCCATGACCTTCGGCCTAGCCTGCTGCGCCGTCGAAATGATGCATCTCTCAACCCCGCGTTACGACCAAGATCGTCTCGGCATCATTTTCCGAGCTTCACCACGTCAATCCGATGTTATGATCGTAGCCGGTACGCTTACGAATAAAATGGCACCGGCGTTGAGACAGGTTTATGATCAAATGAGTGAACCGAGATGGGTTATCTCCATGGGCAGTTGTGCGAATGGTGGTGGGTATTATCATTATAGTTATAGTGTTACAAGGGGTTGTGATAGGATCGTGCCGGTAGATATTTATGTACCTGGATGTCCGCCAACGGCGGAGGCGTTGATGTATGGGATTATGCAGTTGCAGAAGAAGATGAGGAATACGAAGGTTTGTGGTTTCCCTCCTCTCTCCTTTTTTTTTATCTTTTTTGGTGGTTGGTTCATTGCTAACTTTTTGGGGATTTTAGATTACGAGAATGTGGTATAGGAAGTAGTTCTTTTTTTCGTAGGCTTGGATATTAGAGATACGAAATTGCCTTTCACTTCTACCTTTCCTTTCCCTTCCATTCTTTAATCCTCGGTAGGGGGGAGTAGAAAGTGAGGTTCTTCTATTCCTTGGGCTTTTCCATTTTCGTTTTATGTAAATATGTTGTTTAAAGGTTATTTCACGGTTCTAAGCGGTTTGTGGTATATATATCCTAAAAAGGGTTGAAAATAGAAATACAGAGAGAGATTGGACACAGTCAAGGTTTAACTTTTTTTTATATACTAGATATAGCTAACCAGTGTCTGGGAATTAGACTCTACTAGTTATCTTATGAACCAGACGTTAGAAGGTTGGTTCACGAAGGGGATCTAGACTTGCCCGGAAGTTGATTGACAGTTAGATATGCTCGGCGTCTGTTTATTTGTTTCTATTGTTGAGAGTAGCTTGGTACAATTGTAGGATCACAGATATAAGCAGCCAGTGATTCTCGAGCTCGGGATTATCTTTTGCGATGTATGGTGGATAATCTGGAGTTATATACTAAACTAGTAAAGCAGTTCTATCACTAGATCCAGTGAGGTGGTCTAGATCCCGGCCATGCCATGGTGCTGTATATACTATCTACATCTAGCATAAGATCGATTCTAAGCTTTTGATAGTATTGATATCATACTACGAATCTGGCGTATGGTAAGGGTCGGAATCGAACTAAACCAATTGACCATCATAATATATATATATATCACAAGTTAAGAAGTCTGTCGACGACGAGAGTAAAATAACGGTTCGTAACTGTTGTATAATATCCACATACCTACCCATCTCCTAAAACTCGCGATAGTCAGGGTTTATTAACCCCTTCCATGAAGCTTGAATATAGTAAAGCAGACGTACGGGGGTCATCTTCTATCAATGAGGGCGGTTTACGTTTTGTTTACCAGGAGTATATGGATTTTTCTTCGTATCTTTTGTGGAGAATTCTGGTTAAAAGGATAAAGAGTTATCATTTGGATTTGGTATCACGGAAGTTAGACTAAACAAGAGTTATAGGTATGAGGAGGAGAGCGAGGAGGGTGTGTAATTGTGGCGTTGAGGTGAAGACGAAGAAGAGGATGAGGAGGGTAAGGAGGACGGGTGAGAAAGAGGATCAAGAGGAGGTGGCGGAGGAGGAGGATAGATAGAGCGAGGAATGATAACTCAGAAGAGGCGGATGAGGAGACGTATGAGGAGGACAAGAAGAAAGAATAAAGTAACAGAACAAAAGGAACATTAAAAGCAGGACTGACAAAAAAGCAATGCAATGGCACGATTCCCTCCCGTGGACACAAAACCCTGATCGCATGATAGTGAACAAGTAATAGTATAAAAGTATAGAGAGAAAAAACAGAAAAAAACGAGATCCTCCCCTCTTAGTTAAAGAAATCCAGTATCAGTAGTAATAATAGTAGTATGCACGATTTGAAGAAAATCAAAAAGGGCGAGTAATACCAGGAGAACACGACCATCCCTCTCATTTTTCCGCCCGAAAACGAAGTACCTGATTGATTGATGTTTTTTTCAACCCTCCAGAGATAAAAAGGCAGGGAGAAAGGAAGAATCAGGGTAGGTAGTTTTAAAAGGAAAAGGAAGAAGGAAAGAAACCAGACATCGAGAGGCGGGAGGTGGTGAATAGGTGGAAACATGCGTTATCTTACAAAGGAATCAGAATTGATAAGAGGAGAAAAAAAAGAAGAGATGAGGTCTCAGACCTGCGTTGGTGCAGTCATCACAATGCCAATAAAACCTAGTAAGAGGGAAAGGATAGAATGGGGAAAAAACGAGGATAAGACATCATCATGATTGTTAGTGATGGCTTTTCACTAGCTTTGTCCAAACATCAGGATGTAACAGAGCAGAAGCAGAAGAAAAACTGGAGAAGATATCAAGGCTAAGGCCAATTAAAGAAGATTTAATTAAGCCTTTGTCTTTGCCTTCTTGGTGACCTTTGCATCGGTGGCCCTGGTAGTTTTATATTGGTTAGCTGGAAGCTCGCAGGTAGAGATATATGTGTATGTGCGTTTTTTGATGCATACGAAGATCAAATGTTTGATAAGATATTTTTTGTGTTTGTTTTGATTTTGATTTTGGGCAGAAAGTGGAGATATCCGACTTACTTGGTCTTCTTAGCGGCACCAGGCTTGGGACCCGGCTTCTTCTTGGTGACTGTGGTCTTTGCCTTTTTGGCAGCAGCGACGACCTTCTCCTTGACAGCTGTTGTCTTTCTTTTCTTGGGCGCGGCCTTTGGCTTGGTGACACCCGATGAGAAGATGGTGCGAGGAACGACGGCGCGAGTCGAACGACGAGTAGGCTCAGTTGGAGTAGTTGGCTTCTTCTTGCGGCCAGGACCAGACTTGGCGACTGAAGTAGCAGAACCAGTTGTAGGAGCCATTGTGATTGATTCTTTTTTCTCTTTGTTCAAAGTGTGAAAGATTTGGATTTGAAAGAATTTTGTGGAGCTTGCAGGAGATGAATGGAGAAGGAGATTGTTTTGGTTGATGAGAAAGGTGGGATGGGGAGTTTGTAGTTGGAAGACAAAATCAGTCGGGTATTATGTTATGTCTTGCCTGATCTGATCTGATCTGTGCGGAAGAAAATATAACCACAGTTACTGCAGAGAAAATTATAAAACCTTTACGATCGGGAAATCGGGAATGTTTTGACGGAAGTGAGCTTGATGGATAGCGGCGACGGAAGATTGAATAGATTGATTTTCTGGTTGAGAAGAAGACGAAGAAGGAAAGGGAGGAAGGTTGGATGTAGATTGTGCGATGGAGTGGAGTGAAGCGGAGTGGGAGATTGTTTGATTGTTTGGGGGGAAACTGAGGTGGCTGAACTTGGACACCAACATTTGGCGGGGGGAATCAGACAGCTTTATACTCTAAGCACAACAGAACTGAAATGAAGAATAAATATTCTATTCTGATATTACATACGCTTATAATAATAATTATTCTATCTTCTTCTGCCACACCTTCTCCTTTCCTTCCTCTCTTTTTTTTCCTTTTTTTTCCTTTTCTATTTTATTTTATTTGACTTTGTTTTGGTTTTTATCGCTCATGTTCATCCGGGGAAAACTTTCTTTCGTTTAGATCCTGCGACAGCGGCGGCTCTAGAAGCATCGTTCCTTCCCACGCACGTGTCGCATGTTGTTATTCTTGTTATGATAATCTGCGCCGGGTCCTAAATATTTAAATACTGCTATCATTCATCAGTTCGTCCAGTCGGTTGGACCTTAATATGTTATGTGCGGACATGCAATGTAGGAACCAGGTCCAGGTTTGTTAGCCGGTTGCGACGTGTACAAGCCTTCTACCCCCATTCTCTCTCCGATAGGTGGTATC